ATATGGCCATCTTTTGTAAAAAGATGAAATCTAGCCATTTTGGGTTGCAAATTGACCAGATTGCCCTTTTTCACCTTTTCTAATTTTCATTCCATTTTCCATTTTTAATTTGCATTATTGAGCCCTTTTTTCACCTTTTCTTTTTCATTGCATTTTCCCCGCTCTCCATTTTCCCCGCTCTATCTCCATTCTCCATTTTCAGATTTTTAAGCTCTCTTCTCCGGCAACTCGAAGCTCTCTTCTCCGGCAACTCGAAACTCCCATCAATCGCAGTTCAACTCGAAACCAGGTTCATATTTTTTTTGTGTTACGATTTTTAGGGTTTTTGTACCGCATTCAATCGATTTGTTTCATCTATCTCCCTCTATGCATTTCATTACCCAATTTCATAAACTTTTACTCATTTTTCCTCGTTTTCGGCGAGTCACAGTCACAGTCTGTCGATTTCATTCACACGAGCCACAGTCCGTCGATTTCATTCACGAGTCACAGCCCGTCGAGTGCTGCTTCCGGCTAGTCCAGCCGTTGCTCTTCCCATTCCGGCAAGTCAAAGTCGCTGCTCTTCCCAAGGTGCAGTTCCTTAACTTCAAATTTTTAGGGTTTTTTAGGATTTCTTGATAAAGTGTTTTTTAGAGATTTTAGGGAATTTGTTTTTGGATTAGGGAGTAGAATGTGAGTGGAAATAAGTTAAAACCTTAATTTCATTTGGGAATTTATGTGTTCAATGGGCTGTTGGTGTGTATTTGGGGATTTAGGTGTTCAATGGCCTTAAACCTTTTGGTGTGTATTTGGGAATTTAGGTGTTCAATGGGCTGTTGAGCCGCCCAATTGTTGTTTATTTGGTTTCAATATGTAGAGTTGGCAAATGAAAAGTGTTTGGTCTCTTTAACAACAAAAAAATGTGGAAAGAGATTTTGATTGGGTTGTTATTTTTGAGGAATTTTCTGTAATACATATGTCATGATGTGAGAAGATATAACAATCAGGAAAACTGAAGAAATAGTTTAATATAGCTGTTAATGAGCACTGCTATATGGACAGTTTAATGAACTAGACATATAGAGGTTAATCATAACAATAAATTAAATTCAATTATATTTCAAATAATTGCAAGAAGAATGCTCCTTATCATTTACACAATAACCTCTTCAAGTTTGTTTTTGCACTTAACAAAGGTCTAGCTCCCTCTTTGGTTCCAAATTATGTCATGAAATGTATTGTTTTATTACAACTTTAAGGCAAGTGAAAGAGATGTCTAATTCCAAAATACTTAACAGTTGCTTGGCGTATAGGATTATATGGTTTATCACTAACTTTTTTGGAGTGATTTTATGTGGTTGGTGGTCATTGAGTTGCAGGTATTGGCAAGGGACTTGTCAAAGTGATTTTATGTGTAGAGTTAGTATTAGCCGACTCAAAATAGAGCCACATGCCACCCTATTTATGTCTTAAGTTTTGAGTTAATTGGGCTTTTGCTACTAATTTGATATATCGTGAAGACGTAGTCATCTTTAAATGTAAATTGATGCATTTCTTCATTTTCTTAACTTGAATACAGATCTTCGTACAAACATCTTACCTCTTTGAGGCGCTATTCTTGGAACACGACTAGATGACAACCGCTAACGAGGTATGATGTTTTTTTTGCTCAAAAATAAGTTTTGTAGTTTACGTGGAAAAACTTCAGTTTTTTGGTTCAAGAAACTAATGTGTTTATGTTGTTTACTCAAGAAAGAGTATTTAACTTCCTGCCAGAAACTGATTTGTTGTCACGAAACCGGTTTTTTGTTGAAGAAAACGGAAGTTTCTTGGCGTTTCTTGGCAAGAAACCAGTTTCTTGCTGAATTCTTGGCAAGAAAACAGTTTCTTGCCAAGAAACCAGTTTCTTGCCAAGAAACCAGTTTGTTGTCAAGAAACCGTGTTTGTTGTGTTTTTAAAAAAAATTAAAATAATATTGATTGTTTCATGATTGTTAGGGGAATTGTTGGAGTTGGAGATGGGGCAAAGCTTGCACTTGGAGCGGCAAAATTAACTGTCAGACAAAGCCTAAAGTAATAGGCTATATTAAGAAGCAATTAGGTGCTTGTGGCC